TCGGCCACAAACGTTTTTGCCCTCTCGTCAACTTTCGACAGACGCTCAATTTCGGCATTCAGTTTTTCCACAAGGACACATAACTAGTAGCACAAAGTCACAACACGGCAAATCTCACCTCCTCATTTTCCGCCAAACTCTCCACTAAAGCCAATCGTCGACTTTCAGCCAACTCCTTCCAATACTCCACTGGTGGTTCTTCTACAAAACTAGTCCTGTGCTATTCATGCCTTACCACAACATAACATTTCCAATTCCTTCGCTATGCCATCAGGCGCTTGTGTTGAGGCATGCGACTGCTGGGGAGACTTCAGAGCTAACCTCGCAGCTCCACAGTGTTGGCAAACCGACGAAGACGTCTCCTTGAAAATTGACAAACACGCTGTATTTTTCTGCTTCACTAATGCCTCCTTGTTGACATTGTCGTCGTTTTCTTTATTTCTAAACGCTGCAATCGGTTCCTTTCCGACACTTTCCTTTCTAGTTTCCTACAGAGTTTATCCGCAAAAATAGCATTTACCTTCCCCAATGTTTCCTTTTTCAGGTAATCATTGCCTACTGATCGAACAGAGAGACCTCGACGATTGACGATCATCTCAACCAATTCACACACGGCTCAGCCAACCACCTGAGATCTACTTCGAATCACAAGTGCCGCCTTTGTTTAAAGCAAGAGTTTCGGTAGACTTAAACAACGTGGCAAGACATGGATTTTATTTACATGAATCTGGCATAATGTCCAACAATATATTTGTAATAGTGTGCATTGTTTTATTACAACACAGTGGGATTGTTAAAAATAAAAAATACCTGTGCGTGAGGATCTAAAATAAGGAAGCTGAGCATCAGATTCTGTCGCCAAAAATTGTAATCGGTTTGAGAACATTTAAGAAGACAATGCACTAATTCATTCGTTTGGAAAAAAAAGTTCTGGATATTTCGAGAAAGTAAAGCCCAGAACCTCAGTAATAGGCGATGCCATGCAGCTACTTACCAACATGACCAATGTCAAAAATTCACTTCGTCGTTGAATTCTTGGCAAGATACTGTCGCGTAAAAACTGATTGATCAATAACTTACTGCCTTAGCTGCTTGCTATTGTTTGCAGCTATGCGTAGAAAAGCTAATTTATGAATGGCTGCTTTGTGAGCGACGAGAAGTGGAAATTGCACTTGAATTCATATAACGAAATATATCCGTGGATTGCTTAGATAATAGAGGCGAATTGCAGGGAATTAGTGTCTGAAAACTATTTCAGCAGCTTCCTATAAACATTACATAATAATAAAAAGTAACAGTCCAAGGGTCTGAATAATGTTTTAGAGTGATGTACGTACTTGCTCCTGCCACCACAGTTCACACTTGACTAATTCCTATTCTCACACCTCGCGAACTCTCTGGTGTACCACCTAGCCGATTTCTGTGTTTCTCTTTTTGTCAAATGCCATGACTTATTTCCAACTAATTCGGAATGCATAACAGTGTTTCATGCACCATGCTCTTTCCTCACATGACCCATGCACGTCTGCTACACACACCTACAATCACCGGCCAAGCAAATGATTAAACCTGCGTCGACATCCATATCATCAATCTTCTTCGACTATTTTTAAGTGTTAGATCAGACAACGATGGTAATATTGAAACAGCTGCCCTTGTTTGTGCATGTGTTCCATATCAGTGACCTCACCAATTGTGGGTCCAAAACTGAGCTCTTTCAACTACTTGCAGGTTGATACGCGGACATCTGCAACAACGCCCGTGGAAGTCGGGTGTCTTTTTTTCCTAGACCTCCTGAAATCTTCAACTGAATCCTTTTCAATACTGGTTCAAATATCGAATGTCAATCCTTCCCAGTGAGTCCCACTCATTCCGCTCACGTGATTTACTCGAGTATCCAAGCCTAGCCTCTTTGCTCCACTTTTACCTGGATGATTGCTTTCTTAATTTCCAGACATTTTTGAATAATCTATTGGCCTAGCCTATGCACTTGACTTTTGTCAACCAACGACATTTCACAACTGCCTCGCAGATATCTATTTTAGCGATCAGCTTATCAGACGGCTGGCGGTAAGCAAGGATTATGCCTGATCTCAGCTCCATCACACTTCATTCGTCTGCCAAGTCTCGGTGTACACCAGCTTGGCCGGCCTCAGTCGTCGACACACATACACACTGCTGCACAAACGCAAATTTTAATAACTATTCAGAAACACTGCAGAAATCGGAGGCAGAAAAATAGAATGCCACGGTCGTTCTTCATTTACAATTTAGGCATCGTCAATGATTAGCAGCTTCATTCCACCTTGATCATGATCATTGGACCACACCTCCTCAACCACTTCGATCCAGTCGGCAACCCCTCAAGTGGTGTCTGGATGAACCACTGCCAAAACTCGTCTGTACAAGTCCTATGCAAATTCGACCATAGTCACAATCATTTAAAGCACAAAATACGCCATACGTAGGGTAGATATAGGTCGAAGTCATCTAGACGCTCACGCGAAAGCCACCCCCAATTACAGTCTGATCGTGTAGGCACGAGTACGTTACCCTTCATCCAATCACGCACGCAGGCAACAACAGTGAGCTGGAAGCCATTTGCAGCTCATGAAAGTTTAGCGGTCTGCCAGTCACCGATGACGAACTTACATCTAATTTATTTTATTCCTTTGCACAAATTGGCCGTTTTGTTCAGGATGTCCTATTAATTGAAAGATTTCAAAACTGCGATTGGTCGTGCTCACTTTGGCCGTTGGAAAAGCAGCGATCATCAAAAGTAGCCTAGAATGTATTCTCTGAAATGTAAGTAAGCAATAAGAAAGCAAGCCGATAAGCTTAGGCTAATTTGTACCCGTTACTGCGGACTAGTTATTGCACACTTAAAAAAATCACTCTGTACAATTTAAATTAGCAAATCTATAAGTGAATTGCTAAAAACAAGCTCCCTATCTGACTAGAGCAAGCACACTAAGGTATGTTTTTACCAACGCTAACACAACCTAAAACTTAGACAAAGGTAGTGGTTAGTTAAGACTCACATCCACATTTCTGATGGCCATGAACGGGTCAAAAGAAAGGCGTTGTGTGGAGCGATGGAGCTAGAGTTAAAGTGTGAGACCACATCTTGATTCAAGCTGTGCTATGTCCGACGAAGATGGCTGTGTATGACTTGGTGTTATCAGTGGTAATTTTTATTGGAAAAGGAATCCAATGAGTGCATTATCGGTGGTTGAGTTTGTAATTTGTATTAAAAGTTATAGACCTACAAAGCAGCCCAGACTACTGGTCAAAGACTGCTCGCTATTCCAAAATTGCACTTACTTCCACCAAACTCGTCGATTTGTGCTCGAGTTTACATCAACGGACTCATGAAAAAGAGAGACTCAAATTGGCGCCAACCAACCCTACGATCCAGCGTTTTTCTTTCAAATCCGTTTACTTTAACTGTAGAGTCCAACTTTGATCCGAAAATAAATAGCCGCTGTTTTCGTGGGGGATTGCAACAGTACCTAACTGTACAATACCCGGGCTTCAGTTTATAGAAGACTGGGACAACAGATCAGGCTTTACTGACCAATCACAAGCTAGAACCACACCTCAGGCGCTGTCCATCCGAGTCTACCACGCTGGCTGCGCCGCTCATTATATGCCACTTCTTATCTTTCTCGCAACCCAGAGCACTGGTCAAAGATTGCTCGCTATTCCAAATTGCACTTACTTCCACCAAACTCGCCGATTAGTGCTCAGGTTTACATCAACTGACTGCTTCAATTTAGTGAAAAGGAGGGACTCAAATTGGCGCCAACCAACCCTAAGATCCATCGCCTTTCTAGCAAATCAGCCTACTTTAACCTTAGAGTGCAATTTGGAATCGAAAGTAGACAGGCGCTGTCTTCGTGGGGAATCGTAGCAGAATGCCAAACGTGATCTCCACACACATGCAAGCACTAAATCGGCGAAAATTAGCAAAATTCGAAAGTTAACACCTCAAGGTAGCTCGAGAACTCCAATTATGTGACAACCAATAATTATTAGGCTTACATAACTTTAAGTTGGAGGTTAAATGCATGTACTTTTTTTATTCATTCAATTACCCATAAGTTCTTTGTTAGAAAGTAGTCCTTTTATTTACTCGTGACTGACATGGTCCCAGTAGGCTTCGGGTGGTGACCGATCCGTGTGCCTGGGAGAGGGAGAATTTTGATTTGTATTCACAACAGTTGCATTCTATATTAACATCACATCGGCGTTTCATCGATTAACTGGCACTGCGCAATTCCATCAATCCCAGGCACGTCGTCAAGATGTAGTTAGGCTGAACAATGAAAAACAAATCACACATTACAGAACATGAGGCGAAGTTGTATGTGTGTATTTAAAGAGTTGAATGGGTCAAGGCATCGTGATGCACTGAACAAATGAGCAGTTTGTTAGCATGATCCGATGACCACAGAGGGCGAACTGCAACGATGCAAACACGAGATAGCTGTTTTTGACAAAAGAAAGCAGGTGGTCTAATGGCGAAAGTGGGAGTGGAGGCATTTGCAAGACACCCACTTACCTCGTGGCTCTGACATTCGACCTGGGAGAGTCAGCGTCGATTCCTCCGACTTGCGAATGGTAGGAGTGACAGCTCAGGCAGTTCGATTCGTACAGGTTATCATACACACGCTCCACACTGCTTAGGCTATTCGAGTCATACACTTCATCGTAGATGTGGCTGCTTGATTCGTAGACCTCGTCATAGACATGGTCAGTGGTCAAGACGCCTGATCCGACAGCCTTCACTCTGGATTGGACACAATATGGGCTAATGGTGTCAACGAGTGCCTCGTTAGTGTCGCCTTCAGTGGGAGGCCCTCTTGCGCAATCACACATGACCGTTTTGATGGATTTGTAATGATCGGTGAGGGGAAGTGGTGTATGCTCGCGATGTCCCACACAGGATTCATTACAAATATCGCCTCCACCTGACACTGGCATTTTGTTTCCACCCTTGATGCAGTTAAAATTCGCCTTGACGCATTTCTTCGATCCTCTTTTTCCTCTTCTGTTGCTCGAAGCTGCTTGTCCCATTGCGTGTGACGTCGCAGTAATGTGCACAAACAGACAGCTTTGTGAGCTTCAACTCGACTCAGGTTGGATTTGAATAAAAAAATCGATGGCGCTGCCACAAACACTACCACAGCTATACAGCTGATGTCCGCGTCCTGGCGACATAGTCTCAAATCAATAATGCTGATACAGAAGTGCTAAAAGGCTTTCACTGGTTTTAATTTTTACCCATACACAGACTTGTCTACTTTGACTGACCTCAGAAAACATGACGCAGCGTGCTGCGCTCCAGCAAAGCAATATACTCAGGTCATGTCTTGTTGGGCAGTTCGCCACCTATCTTTTCGCTACTTGTCTGCATGCTTTGTTTCTCAAACGCATCGTTTTTTTTTCAATTGGTTTATCTTACAGTTGTCATTTTATAGTAGTTGACAAGACCAGTTGCAATAACTCGGACAGACTTAATTTCTAGCAAACTGCAACAACGATACTATTTATCTTAGATTATCCTCACACATAAGTCTCGATGTTAGCGCATGTATGACTCACACATCCGAGGTATAAATATACACGCACAAACCCCACCCACGACACAACGACATCAGTTTTGGTTGAGCACTGAAGTAAACGATTGTGTCCCGTCCTCTCCGGTCTTTTTTTTCATCGCGGGCATCGGGCAAGCTCAATCGGGCCAGGGTTAATTCTATGGCCCCGGCGTGGTTCAAGATCACATGCTGGGGCCCACAACAAACGCAAACAAACCGAATGGTGTAGCAATAGTCGTCTTGGGGATATCAGATGGTTCGACAGGGATCTGATAATAGGCGCGCACCAAATCTAATCCGGAAAAAAACGGCTTTTTGGTGTAGATTCGACGACAAATCATGTAGATTTGGTATTGGGTAGCTATCAGGGATTTTTATTGCGTTCAAGGCACGATTCTCACCGCATAGCCGCCATTCACCAACAGCTTTCTTGGGAACAATCACTGCCTGATCGTAGGACTATGCCAAGCTGCAACATGTGGTCGAATTCTTGCTTAGCTGTTGAGTTTCGCGTTGGAGAGAGTGGGCGTACTCGGGCATTAACTGGGCAACCGTTTGTCGAAATTCGGTGCTTGACATTGTGCCGGACTTCGGTTTGCCGGTGAGTTGGGTTAATTAGATCTGGGTACCTTCGCAGTAAGGCCAAGTAGGGTCCGTTTTTAACTTCTAATGTTGTAACCTGAGAAATGGCCGGCGTAGTTTGCGTGGTTCACCGTTCGGATAGAATTGTTAGGGTATCTATTAGTCGCTTGTTCTCAAGGTCGAGTAGGAGACCAAAGTAGTTGAGAAAATCTGCGCCTATGATTGGATGGGTCACCGCGGTGATAGTGAAGACCCAACGGAACTGGCGTCGTAGTCCGTAGGTAGAGAGGGGGGAACCATTGGCGGCTGAGGAAATAGAGAAGGGGTTTGGGGACCGTTTTTCAGAGCGCATTGGAGGGACAACGGGTATGTCGGCTCCTGAGTCGACCAAGAATCGCATGCCTGTTGACTTGTCGGGTAGGAAAAGACGGCGGTTCAATTGCCCACTAGCAGTCGACGCCACTACTGCCGGGCATTCTCGTTTCCCGACCCTGCGAGAGAGTCTGAAACAGCGTACCTACATGGGGATCTACACTGCCGAAGGTTGCATGATACCAACACAAACCTCGAGAAAACGAGTGTGAAGAGGACCTTCGGCGAGAATACGAGCGATTCCGTCTAAATGATGTGTTATATCTTCTCAATCGTGAACCATTGATTGTCAAGGCATCGATTGCGGCCTCGATCCTGGCTAGGCGGCTCTCCAAGGATACTGATGCTTGGCACGCGTCAGCGGGCAACAATGAATTCGATTGTCTTTGGAGACCTGGGCCAATTTCGGAGAAGTGAGGCGATTTCGTTGCTTCGAATATGAGGTCTGTGGTACCCGCCAACTGTTATAGTGTCGACGATTAAACCAAAGGGGCAAGGATGGGTTGGATATTGTTGAATAAACTATTGAGAAAAAATCCTTTCCAAAATTCACCTTGCAAAGGTTCGTCATTGGAGAGATGACGCATCTTCCTCAGGATCTGGGTAGGCTTCAGATCTCCCAAGTCATCGCGGACAGATGTTAAGTAATGCGTTCCAACATAGTCAGTTGTGTACGTTTTAGAATAGTTGACTTAAGCTGCTCGTAAGGAAAATCGCTGTCGGGGTGAAGCGGTACGTCTAAAACTTAGTTGGCCAGTTAGCTACTCAAAGTAGAGACGAGGTGAGGATATTTAGCATGTTGGCTGACAATATTAGCTCCACGAAATTGCGTTTCCAAAATGGCGAACAAATACGGAGCGGAAATCGGCCAGAATGGAGGCTGTTTTATGTTGATCCCTTCTAGGGTAATTGAAGGTTTGCTTTCTTGATGGTCCATGTCGGGGTCACCAATTTGCAGGGGCCCTAATTAGCACTACCACAAAACCCTATGGATAACAGCCGGTCACAACTCGTGAAAAGAGAGGGTAGAGTCGAAAGAGAACACCACCGTTTATTCGCGTCACGCCAGTCGAGTCGAGTCGATACGCATGCGTTACAGGCGACTGCTTACAACAAAATCAATAACGAAGGGGCTGAGTCATTGATACAGTCGGGCAAGCATACACGCAGCACTCACACGCGCGGTGGCTGCCTGTCCACAACAGTACACTTACGGTAAAAATCGATAAACTTGTACTCTCTCACGCTTGCAAACTGCGTTCGCTCACGAATGCTAACTGTGCTGGCTTGCTGGTTGCCACGCCCCCATAATAAGCACACGTTTTTACTAATTTCTACATTAGTTAACACCCGAATCACACACAATGGACTGCATTCCTTTCAACACTTACTTTCATCTCACTTGAAAGAGCACACGCATATTTCTTACCAGCGACAACCTGTACCCAAACTGAAATGTCCTTTCAATCATTAATCATCACAACACACTCCCACCCACCTTAGTGCTGTCTAGCAAGACATTTACAGTCTGCCTCCACTGAGCCCATTTCGGTGCATTTCAGGCATATTGCAGCTACAATCGCCTTACACACACAATTAAGCAGTTAAAGCTGTTTATTCATACAATTTGAGCCAAGCCAACAGGTTTTGTGTACAGGATTGATTGCAGATCTACGGCTAACCATCTGGAAGCCTGGTCTCCAAAAAGATGTCGCCAGTGGGGGTGGATAAGGCTGTGGTGGACGCTGCAGAGTCACTGGAGAATCGATTTCTGCCGGCAAGGAGGAAAAGTCGGGGAGTGGAGGTGCAAACCGGGTAACCCACGAAAACCCGTTTGCTTTGGGGACTAGAGCCAAGTGAAAACTGTACAGACGGTTTCTTCAATTCGCCTTCTGTCCTAGCCTGATCACCACCAGCGTTAGTGGCACTGGTGGTCATCATTCCGGACCACCTGTTCGAGGTTTCCGAGTTAGCCACATTGCGGCTAAAGAAGCAATCGCCTCGGTTAATCCTCATTATGATGTCCCAAACGCTTTTTGTGCATCGCACGTTCCTCCTTAGCTCTGCGCAATATCTCCGAGCACTCGCGATGAATCGCTTCAATTCTTTAGCGCTGCTCTCTCTTGGGTCTTGCGTTCAGGCCGCATACTGGCCTTTGGCCTTATGGGATCTATGGCCTGACACGACGGGGCTGCAAAGTTCTCCTCTTCGATGTCGCCTTAACGAGCCACCTAGCTTTCCACCTCGCAACGCCTAAGGCCTTCTGCCGCCTCCGGGCGACGGAGTTAGACTTGCTGGTTCGTGTACTTACGATTCGTAAGGAAACACACACCGAACGAGGAGCTGAATTACCGAAATCCACTGTGAAAGACGTCACCACTCGATCACTATTCTTCGTTGATGAGAGAGTAGCAGGCAGCTTGCGACGAGAGACTGACTTGGAAGTATAGGAATTCGAGGTGGAATTATCACAGGCCGGTTCTTGGTCTGGTGACATTACTCTTTGACTGCTTGCACCAACTTCTTTGACTGCAATGTTAGGCTTTCTGGTTCCAGCCCTAGCTATTCGTGGAGATGGAGCGCAGATGGAACGTGGAGCTGAACTGCCGAAATCCACTGTAAAAGACGTCGCCATCCGATCACTATTATTCGATGATGAGACGGTAGCCTGATTCGATGGACCTGACTTCATGTGGAAAGAACGCATTCCTCGTCTTAACATGTTCAGACGCAATAATATAGATATTCAGCCCTGATGGGGCTTCATACCGTAAATAGATTGAATCGTGTGTGGCGAGCACCAAGCGAGCACAGTTTGCAAGCGTTCAGAGACCAATTTGCTTGGCCTAGCATTCGTAGAGATGTTGCAGCGGGCCTCGGTGCGGTTTCGGAAACCACACCAGGGCTAGCGAAAGAAGCGTGGAAATCCGCAGGCGGTGCGTGTGTTTGTGCAGGATAACAAGTGCGTTTATATAGCTCCGCTAAGCATCGATCGCTGTCCGAATGGAGTTGTGTGAATTGCATTCATGAAAATCGATTGAATCGTGTCAACCTGAACTGTGTTCGTTCACGCCTGCCAGCTAGGCAAATCGCTCTTTTGACAGTTTGCGTTGGTCAGTTATTTTTACACGATAACTGCCGCCGGCGTTTGACTCTAGTTTGACTGCTTACAATTCGTCAGTAAACGCAAATGGAACACGAAGCTAAATTGCCAAAATCCACAGTAAGAGATGTCGTTACGCGATCCCCATTAGCCGATGGGATGGAAGACTGATTCGATGAAAGAACGGCCTTCTTGTCTTAACCAGTCCAGACGTAACAATGTGCATAATCAGTCTGGATGGGGTTTTTATACCGTAACTAGATTGAATCGTGTGTGGCGACCAGCGAGTGAGCACAGTTGGCAAGCGTAAGTGACCACGATTCCATCTATTCACGTGAATGAAGTTTACGTAACTCCGTTCGTTCAGAGATTAATTTTTTTGGCCTAGCATTTGAACTAGTTTGTATTCAGATTGACGGTGGATTGGCAACAATTTTGGTTATTTCCTTCGATTGAAATTAAATAACTACAAGCCCACTCTCACCAACCTCGATTGACACTTGATCTCGCGGGTAAACCTGATGTCACAAAGTCATTTTAAGTCAGCATTAGGTTCCCTTTCAAGACAGGAAGATTAGCTTCATGTAGAATACTTGTAAGAGCCAACTGTGAAAAAGTCAGTGTTCGACGAGGAGGTATCCAGTCACACCCACAGAGTCAATAAACCAGTTGATGTCAACTCGAACACAATTAGACAAATGAGATAGAGGTAAGGGTAGACTGCGATGAAGTTTGATCGATGGCTAGTAGCTTGAGCTACTTCGCCGATCTCTGGCAATCCCTCAACTTATATCAATCTTACAAGCTCAGTAAGCTCCGCGATCCGGCGCTTTTGCACACCTTTCATACTGACCATCGCCAACTTTCAGCTTCGGATACAGTGTGCCTGGCACCAAGCCATGCCCTTGACCTTCGATTCCAGATCTCTTTCTCATTAAGAGAGGTTCTTTTTGACCGAAATAGTGTGCAGTCTGTTTCATGGCACTCATATCAACGCACCTTTAGCAGCACCTTTTTACTTTGAATTTCCATAATGGTCGACTGTGTTTGTGAGACCATCATTGCGTTTCGCCCCCAGAATTTTGTTCCAGATTTGCCAAAGCGATCTTGTCGATGTGCAATTATATGTAGTAGCAGGTACAACCTGACAACTCCAATACACGTGTGTTGTTACGCTACTTGGTTTCTGGTTACTTTTCAGAACTTGCATTCAAGTCTGATTTCATAACTAATTTTTTCCTCAACTGACCGGAGTGAGGCCAACCAATCCCACTTTCGAATAGTTCGATTGACTTAAATCGAATTCATTGGGTTGTATGGCAGGCCTCCAAGTTGCCCCATAACTGACGCTTGCCATCAGTTCAGAATAAAAAGCCAACATGCCGAATATCTAACTAGCATTATCCAGTATTAAGGAAATTTTGAAATCGACTGCATGCGGCAACAGTGGTTAGTCAAACGGTAAAGTTATAATGACAAACAGCGAATTAACATGTGAACAAAATGCATTGCACTGACTAATAACCTAGCTAATCGCTTAGTGTTTTGGAATAGTCGATAGACTACATGACATTAACTTGAAATGTCCGATTCTGCGAGACATTTGTGTGTGCCTCTCATTTTATGCTATTGCATCATTTGCAGCTGACGACTTCAGTGTAAATGCACTGTCAGTTTTTTTGGCATGTTGAATAACAGTGTCGCAGGCCTAAGGGTTTGCCAAATAAACCAAAATTTTAAGAATATTCGTTGAATTTATGCAGCAAATCATGCATACATTTACAAGAAGCCGTTTTGTTAATCGCGTATCCTGCACTTCAACTGAACCCAAATTTCCCGCAACGCTTCTGGGCAAATAAGTCGATCAAATGCATACTTTCCTGAATAAGATTGTCGAGTTTGGCTCTGGTTCGTTGCTGTAAGCTGTCTGCTGCTTTGCCAGTTGAAACACAGGCAGAATGGTTAGGGTCACAATCTTCGAAGTGACAGGTTCGGTGAAATGTTGATGGCCTAACTGGTGGCTAGTAGTGCTGTTCAACCACAAGAAGTGAGAATTTACTTCTTGTAGCCACATAGGCTGACCACCACCAAACATTAGTCCGATTTCACCCGTTGTCTCTAACAGCATAAATCGTCTGAACGAAGTCTGCTTCTAACTAATAGACGTGTTAGACTTGCGAACTTGTCAAACTACTTCTTCGGTGTGGAGAATTCTAACCTTGGCGCGCTAGGAACTTGTGCTTACAAGTATATCTGCTTAGTTGACTGTTCTCCGAACCAATCTTATATTGTAGTACCCTTCTACACAAATAATTGAAAGTACCAAAAGATGCAACCCATCTGAAAATGACAATCAACGGCTGTGCAAATTGCGAACACATGCGGCTAATTAAATTTATTTCTTACATTCAAAATAACACAATATCTTAACGAAGTTGAAGCTACGAGTAATGTGGCATGTGCGAACCACTCTGAGCACAGATCCTATCAATGAGTGGCATTCACAAATCCGATGAAGAAATGTTTCATCAACGACCAACAACGACTTGCTAAATTTGCAGTGATTTGATGTCACGCATGGTTAACGTGTTTGAGAAGCACTTCTGTAATGACGGTGGTGAATGACACCACAGTTGATCAGCAGCCTGTAATGAATTGAGCTGGTGACAGTAAATTGTGCCTTGCTTATGATGAAGGTGGTTCCACGTTGATGTATGTTACAACCTAAAAGAGACACAATGACTTAGTTTGCATTAAGTTGCATCAACGTGCACTGCGCGTATACACGCAGCTGGTCGCGTCTATTCTAGGCAAAGCATGTCCACACTCGCCTAGCCAATAACTTGTTAAGCGATACACACGAGAGACGACAAAGGTCCTTACTTCGAGTGGAATTGTTCGAAAAAAACACAACGTTGACAATCAAGTGAATCGCTTCATTTCCGTGTCTCAGCTCATGAGAGCACGCGATCCCGTTACTAAGCAACCAGGTTTCTAGACCCTTGTGAATGCTTGAAAAGCTTATCGCATTGAGCAGTTAGCGTGGACATTATCGACCCGTCACTTAATTACAGCAGCCACAATGATTTCTTCAGGGGCGTTGCTACAAACATGCTGTAAAATGCATGTGTTTGTCGTCGTAAAAAGGACCACTGCCACTACATTCACTCCTCTTGCTGTCACTCATTGCCTTTATGCCAGGGTGCCATTGTGGATTGAAGGGCATCCTGAATGTTCGGCAAGACACCAGTTTTGGCGATGACCAAATTACATATTATTAACCTTCTCAAGTCATTATTGCGAGCGGCTAGGTGAATGCGACTAGGGAGGACGCGAGTCATGTCCACGTCATGAGCGGCGATACCAGCCAACTCGAGGAACTCAGACATGAGGTACACGAGCACCGCTGCTAAGTAGACTGGAACACCAGGACTTGCGCGTACCGCGCGGTCATGATGACGCGAAACATTGTCCATACGACTCACTGAAAATTGTAGACCAGCTCGAGCCGACCTCGTCTTGATCCAGGAACGCACACCGCGCCTTCAGCCCCTTCCTCGTCTTCTCATAATGCTGCAATACAATCAGTGACCACTGATACATTTGATTAATGCTGCGTCCACTGCAAACATGGCGGAAATGCCAACATTACTAACCTATCACTAAGTAAAACTTGTTTGGTTCATCATGATGAATTTGTGAGATGATAGCAGCAGGAGCACATTTTGCGAGTCTATTCAGATCCTTGCGTTTTCTAACTAAAAGTACATGGAAAATTGATGAACGTAAACAAGAACTCTACTTCAACAGTCAAAATCGCATCGCCATTGCAGTTCCAAAATAGCTTGCCGAACACAATATCACG